ATACATGTCAAGGGTCAGATCCTCCTTTAACCAACCTCAGTGGATCAGATCCTCGAGTATAAATATGCACGTAGAAAAAAAAGAAAGCAAAACAACCTAATAAGCAAAAATGATGGGCCAGCTGTAAAGCAGAGCTAGAAGAAGGCAGCTTATTAGATCCATCAGATTGCACCTTCAGCATCCATCCAGCCCTGGAGGTGGAGAGGATAGACTGCAATGGTGTTTGGTTTCTGCCATCTTTCAGTCCCTCATTTCTGCGTATTGTTGACTTGAGAGAGGGGAGCCAGGGATTCATCTCGGGCTTTGCAAGTACGGAATGCAATCAGATTAATTGTAATTAGGAATTTGGGGTGAAACCCCACCTTGTGCAGCAGCACTCCTGTGCAGCCCAGCTGTGTAACACTGGCTGGGGTTGATTTAAGCTGAAGGAGAGGAGATTGAGATGAAATGAGATATGGGGAAGAAATCCTTCCCTGTGAGGGTGCTGAGGCCCTGGCACAGGGTGCCCAGAGAAGCTGTGGCTGCCCCTGGCTCCCTGGCAGTGTTCAAGGCCAGGCTGGATGGGGCTTTGGGCAACCTGGGCTAGTGGAGGGTGTCCCTGCCCATGGCAGGGGGTGGAACTGGATGGGCTCTGAGGTCCCTCCTGACCCAAACCAGTCTGGGATTTACCTGGGGGGGGTAAATGAGGACCTGTCAGCACCACCTCCCCATCCACCCCGCTCGTGCACAACTGGGGTTTGTAGCCTCACAATTCGTAGGATGGTGTGCTATGGTATTATTGTTATATGAAACACTAGAAATGTTATTTTTGTAGTAAAATTATGTAGCCATTTTGATGCATGTAATGTCCTGTCCTTGCTACTGGAGCTAGGTTGCTCTCCAGGCACTACAGCAAATGGAGCAGATGCTTGTCTGGCTATGGGTGAAGTCCTTGGCCTGGAGCGATGCTGGGGAGATGAACGTGCACCAGGCAGATGTGATCACTTTGAGTTCCACCATGGTATTTGTAAGGACACCGGTTTCACCTCCACAACTGGCTCCCACCGCCTTCCATCTGCTGTGGTCATGCTGGCAGGAGGAGCTGCTCCTCCAGCCTGGATCCGTCCTTGTGCTCGCCTTGCTCCCCGTCCTGTTCCCAGGCCGCGCGCCTGCACCCCTCATGGGGGGCAATTAAAACCCAGGGCAGGGCCGGTGTGTGTGTGGGGGGGGGGTCGCTGTTCCTCCTTGCTTTACGCTGCATGATGGGCAGCCGGGGGGGCACAAGGTGAGTGCCGGTGCTGAAGGACGGAGCCCATGGGTGTCACCGGTCCCTGGGGCTTAAAATGTCATTTGCTGTAGAGCACAGTCGCTGTTACAAGGCTGATTCATTTGTGTATCGAGTATATACGAGTGTGTGCGCGAGATATATGTTCTGTACCTTTTTTTAGAAGTAAAAGTAATAAAGTCCTTATGTTAAACCTCCGGTCCTTGGGGCGTTCAGCCCAGGGTGGGGTGACCGAGGCCGGTCCCCGCAGAGCTGGGGAGGTGAACGTGCGTGGTTAAGCACGGCGGGGGTGTCCCAGCATCGCCGAGGGATGGCAAAGCTGGCACTGCTGATGCGGCTGGGCTGTAGCTCCACCCCTTCACTGTTTATGGGCTTCGATCTTGCGAACAATTTGCAAAGAATATTTTTTTCTCACAGTGAGTCACATTTCCCGTCCTGCTAAGGTGATCCTGGGAAAAAAAAAACAAAACAGCCGGGTTTTTGTTTTGTTTAAGCAAAGCCACAATCAAAGAAGAACCCACAGGAAACAAAGGAGTCTGTAAGGGAGCAAGAAGCCAAGGGCTGAGCTAGGACCTCTCCCACCTCAGCCAGGCTTTGGGCTGCTCTCGCCTGCTCCTCTCGTGCTGGGGAGGAGAGGTGGGAAAGGCAAAGCAACGCCACAGCCAGTGCCCAGGGACTCGCCCGGAGTGGGAGCTGGAAGGAGCAAGAGGGTCAGGGATGATGACCTCCTCTGCGTCCCAGGAGCCCTCGTGCTCCGGCACCGCCGGTGTGCTGGGAAGACGGTGAGGTCTGTGAAAACATCCCCCAGATGAATCACCAGGCCAGAAAGATCAATTTTGAGATAAGCAGCTCTGTGAAAAGAAAAGCACTTTTTTCTTCTTTTCTTTTCTGCTCTCTGTTATGGGGAGGGGGCGGGCGAGGGAGGGGAGGGCTGTGTAAACAAGTCAGCCCTCAACAAGATGAATCATTTCCGACACGCAGAGCGAGCCCAGGCAGCAGCGTGGGGCCGTTCAGGGGCTGCGGGCCCGGAGCACCAAGGGAGCTTTTGGATGCCCGGTCCCTCAGCCGGCTGCTGGCACACGCTCGCTGGCTTTGCTGCTGCTCCCTGGCTTCTCTGTGTCTGACAGTGCAGGGAAAGACCTTGTGCGAAGGATGTCCAACCGTGTCCATCTTCCTGTGTGAGAAGCTGAAAAGTCCTTGATTGCTGGGCAACAGCTAAAAGATTAGTGTGTTATCAACATTATTCTCATCCTAAATCCAAACCACAGCACTGTCCCACCTGCTGGGAAGAAAATTAACTCTATCCCTGCCGAAACCAGCGTGCTCCACCTGGAGGTCCATGGGCTGCCTCAGATGTAGATTTTTGGCTCAGGAGAAAACTGATGCCAAGTCTGTCATGCTTAGGTGGCACAAGGCTTGCAAGGTGGGACCTGGTGTGCAAGACACATGCTTCTGCCTCGAGGTTTCCCCCCAACAGGAGACAGGGAGCCCATGGTCATGGTGGGCCCCTTCTTGGCCCTTGCTGACCCATGACTTTGGTTTCCAATTCTACGTCAGTGCAAACCATCTCCACCGCTTCGTTAGCCAGCTGATTGACCTTATAAGAACAAGGAGTCACTGGGACTCCACGCAGGCTCACCTCCATGCCTTCACATCCCCACGGGATCCATCAGATGGCCTTGAGGGCACTAACTGGCCTTAATAACCCTGACCAACTTCACATGCAGATAGACTCACACACCACACCACCCCCCCACCCCCCCACACCTAAGGCCCAGAAGCCCCATTTAAGCTCAGGTTTGAGCCTCTAGTCCCTGCTTTGGTTGTGTTGTAAGAGTGCTGGTCTGAAGTCCTGGCTCTGTCCCTCTGTCCTGGTTTTGGCAGGGATAGAGTTAATTTTCTTCCCAGCAGGTGGTACAGCGCTGTGGTTTGGATTTAGGATGAGAATAATGTTGATAACACACTGATCTTTTAGCTGTTGCCCAGCAATCAAGGACTTTTCAGCTTCTCACACTGCCCTGCCAAGGGGAAGGCAGGAAGTTGGGAGGGGACACGGCCAGCACAGCTGACCCAGACGGCCAAAGGGATAGTCCATACCATATGACGTCATGCTCCGTATAGAACTGGGGGTGGGCTGAGAGGCACAGCAGCTGGGGGCCTGGCATGGCGTCGATTTTGGAGTGATGGCGTTTGTTTTCCCCAGTCACCGTTGCGCGCGGTGGAGCCCGGCTTTCCTGGGGGTGGCTGAACACCTGCCTGCCGTGGGACGTGGCGAGTGAATCCCTTGTTTTGCTTTGCTTGTGCATGTGGGCTGGGGTCTT